ATTTTTATGATTTATTATTGGGTCTTGATTATAATTGAAAGTTTTTATAATAAATTTATTGATACTTGGCCAACAAATATTTAATCATTTTAATAAATTAATTATTTAAATAAATTACTGATTTATTATTAAAAGACAAATCAATTTTCACGATTATTAAATGATCAAATTAATAACACGGGATCAGACTAACACGATTATAGCGAGCGTGAAAGCACGCTTACCATCATTATATTATTAAAATTTAACTATATATTAATTAATATAAAATATATTAATTAATATAAAATAATCAGAATAATGAACCTTTAAGAGCGATCTCAACATAATTTTAATACAAAATGCATATGTCGATCCAGGTAGCAGGTGCGATTGCTCCGAATTTCAAAATGTCTACTAATATTGTTTGTGCATTAATTTGATGCACCAAGTTTTTTTATTGCAATCACAGAGAAACGAACAAATTAAAGGAAATGATAACAGGGAGATTAGTTATCGATTGCAAAATTTACTTTACTGTTTATGATTGCAAACTTTTTTTAAACTTTATTTAAATTAGCTCTAATTTTGTCCTCTTTCAGTTTTTTCTTTTTTTTTCCATTTGAAGTTATGTGTTAAGCGTAGATATTGCAATATAATATGATCGATTTAAGTATAAAACAAACTTGTCATAATTTTCTGATGCAGAATAAAAATTTTTCAGTTGTAATGATTTTTAAATTAAAAAATTTTATTCTTTACTAATCACAAAGATATTTGATAAAAAATGACCTATAAAATTTTTTTCATTTTTATATATATTAAATTTTGTGATAATAGGTCAAATTTTTGTTGGAATTGTTGTAATTTCAATAAAAATTTAAACTTAAATATATTGAAGTATTTAATAACGCAATAGTAATCTTAAATTGACGAATAAAACAAACAAGCTGTTCTCATTGTTTAGAAATATTTATAAATTTTTACTAGTAATCTTATGTTCATCTATTTGCAACTTTAATAACCTGAGATTCCTTTTCATAAGATATTAAATATTTCTCAGCTTGATTAGTTGCAACATTTTACAAAATGGCAACAGTAAAAATCATTCCCATAGATTTTTTATCCAAAAAAAGCGAATATACAAACATCTCGACGATATTTGTATGCTCTAACACACTATAAATATTTCTTTTGACATCTCAAGATGTTAAGCTTCATCCTTTGATTCTTCTATCGCTTAGATGTCAAATACGTCTCGTGTCCATACGCAAAATTTACTCTATATATGTACATACGGCTGCTATACGATAGTGTTAGACACGATTGGTATGTTCGGCTGATAACGTGGCAGTGTGAAACGGTGGTTGATAAGGATGATATAGGGTTTCCAAACGATGTCAGAGATAAGAGAAGATCGGCTGACTTGTACGGGGATTTCTCGTTGCGAAACGATTAATCCTTACAATGCCGTACAAAGTAATCCTATCAAATAACTAGAGCTTAGGAAATCTGACAAGATCGAGTTAGCAACTCATTAATGATTAATGAAGTTATTTACATGGTGTATTTGTTTAAGAGCGCTTCGCTTTTGGGATATCGATCCCAGGTCAGATTACAGTAAGTTAATAAACCTTTTACAAAAAATTTAAATAATGTAATTTATGTAATAAAATAAAAAAAGTTTGCAAAATTTATTCTATCATAATATAGAAAAGTTTTATTAAATTCTAAATAAAGCTTTTACGTTTTAAAAAAACTCTTTTTTAGAATTTTGTTAAACATTTTAAACATTGTAAAATATAAAATTGTAATACTTTATAGTAGAGTCGAATTATAATTATTGTTTTTCAAATTGTTATATTTTTGATTAAAATATAACAAATTACATAAGAATATATATTCTTTTAAAATATGTGATACGAGTAATTCTCGTTAAATTACATTCTTTATTATAACGTTATAAATTTTCAATCAATTATTTATCAAATATTTATGATTAATTCTTCACAATATGCAGTATATAAATTTATACTTTATTAACGTTTGGTTCATATAATAAAAATAAATAAAACAATGCTGCATTTCAGTTTGTTTTATAATTCGTAATTTTAATGTTCCGTCAAGATATGATATTCTTTAGTGGCAGTATATTCGACGGAAAATCTGTATGCGGTAACTTTTTAGATTATCAATGAACAGTTATCTTTGAAATATAGTTACGATACTTTCTCTTGATTATTCATGGATACGTTTAATTAATTTATTGATCAACGGAACACTGAGGATAATGGATGAGGAAAAGTACCGATCGTGCCTAATAAAAATCGCATACAGAATATCCACATCGAGGATCTTTGTTCCTTGCACGTTGCTCGTAATCCTTTGCGCTGAGGGAAAATTTACGAATTACAGCGGCTCAAATGCTCGCCACTCCGTAAATCTCCGATTGATCTCGTTAGTTCTCTCTATCTACCGCTTCGGCAAAATATTAATAAGATAACAAGAAGGAACGCCATATTTACATATAAAAATATATCTTATCGTGATTGATCGATGGATCTATGTATAATATACATGTATATATTATGAATATAGATAAAACTTCTCTTAACGTACACCGTGATTCGTTTGATACGTTTCCACACATCACAATTTTCTTGGTAATCCGATGTAATTTCGGTGGATAACATAGTACCATGGAGAATGGTCCATCTGGGAAATGTCCGATATTATTCGCTTCTTGGTTTTGTAGAATCTGCAGTCTTGATCGTGATATCCGCATAATCTTTATCGAGAAACTTAAAGGCAGGTCGTGAAGGTGCAACTGTTTTTGCATCTCACTTATAGCGCATAATTAACGCTTCTTAATGGAAGAGAAAAGCAATCTTTGTAATAATTCGCCTTTAGACATGTCGTTCTTATTAAACGATATGAAATAGAGAGAAAAATGCATTTTATATGCAATTAAATATATATTCCGCGAATACGAGAAGCTACACGCTAGACTATTTGTGCAGAAAATTGCATGTTTCTGTTAACTAGGTCGAGTGTTCGGTTGCCTTTAGCAAACAAGCAACGAATCTTTGTTGGCACTTACGTCAATACGTACCACGAATATTGGATACTCTGCTTTGAATAGTAGAGAAATACGCCATTGCCGTAAGGTAACTAACAGGAAGAAAAGAAGAGAGGACGGGTGCTTCCTCGGTAAGGAGAAGCATCCTCCTCGGCTATGCTCAAATTGGACCCATCCTCTTTTCTATTCTGTACATGGTGTCCTGAATGCTTTGCACACGCGAGAATACTTTTCTTTCCAAAATATTGAAAGTACTATGCGAATCTGTACTTGTTACGCAATGTATGCGCTCTCCTAGAAGAAGACGAAATATTTATTTTCTATTTTTTTAATGAAAGTTTTTCCATGAAAATTTTCCGTTTCCCTTTACGATTTAATTACTAAGAAACTTCAGGATGGAAATTTTAAGTATTGAATCGAGTCGTTAAAAGCAAATTTTGTTAGTAAAAAAATTCTCTTTAAAATAATTTATACTTAGATTTAACGTTAAATGCAAATGCGCATTAATTGTAATAGTTTAAATGGATTAGCTAACGTTCGAGGCAGTATGCGTCCGAAGTTATCAAAGTGGTGATAGCCATTGAGCCGTGCTAAAATGTGTTTCATGAAATTATCTTGCTCGTGCGTTGTTTTCATTAACTCACTGCACGTGTCGATTGCGCGCTTTTTTTTCAACTCAACATATATTGTCGCCGTAATTAAGTTCCATTAGCTGATTTACGGGTTCAGAAACAAAGAACAATCACGGCGAGCAGTAAAACCGGCGGTGTCGTTGTCACATATACTATCAAAATAATGGATGAGTACAACTCGGTCCGCAATGTAGCGTACTATCAATTTTTGAAGTCTTTTGTTCAAGCGTTGATCGTTTAATAATGTATATCGAATCTTCTCAGCGCATTAAATATAATTAATTTGAACCGTATATTCGAAACGGCAAAATTAACACGATTGTCTAATAATATCGCAATATTAAATCTCAAAACATGTTAAGTGAATTTATAAACTAAGATATTGCACTTTATTGCGTTATCAAATCTGTTTGTCTTTTTTGTCACAATTTTTCATATGTAGTTCGTACTACACGTCGATTGCGGAGATTAAATTTTACGTACGTCATCATGTATTCCCAGGACACTCTATATAGTTACATCAATCCGAACATCTCTTCGGAAACATCCTTTGGATTTCATTTATTGCCTAGAAGTTATAACGAGGTTGTTCTACAAGTTTATTCGGTCGTGCGGCGTATTCGTTAGTTTCGCTTGCGCTTTTTCGTGTGTAACTCGTCCAGGTTCTTTTTCTTATTCTTTTCCGCTCTTTTTTGCTTCGCTCTGGTGCAGCGTAGTGTGACGAGTAGCGCACAAATAATTCACAGCTGTATGTTGGGTATAGAAGCACTTCTGAGCCGGGAAGTTTCGCGGTGTAAAATCGCGAGATCGAATAAAAAAAGAAAAAAAAAAAGATAGCGCATCGTCTTTTTGTCGTTTCGCTTCTACGATGTTTGCGAGTTCTTCTTAATGATTGGCTGATACGTAATCATCAGCCTAAACCGATAATCATGTTTCTATCTTTCGAAACTCGAGTTTCGTCGCAACATGAAAAGCTCTTCACTTCTCGTAAAATAGCCACGCAAATCATACATCTTACAATTATTCAAAGGATTAAATAGATATTGAGATTAATTAATTTTTATATAATTAATGTGTTCTGTTTTGAAGTCTAAAAATGTACAACTAAAAACAGGAAAAACCATAAAGTAAAAAAAAAACAAATTATTTATGCAAATATTTGCGACATAATAAAATAACGAAAACATTAATATGCAAAATATTTTTTTTTAAGTAAATTTTTTATTAAAAAAACTAAAAATTTAGCTTTATATAAAAATAAAATACGACGAATGTAACTAAAATGTTACAATTAGACGTATTTAATTTCTCATAAAAATTAGTAAAAGACCAATCATTTCATGCACTACGATTAATACACATCTGGAGAAAAATACTCTACAAAATCTATAAATCGCATAATGTGTGTAATGAAAAATTTAATACAGAAATTTTTATGTTTGGTGTTTCCAAAAATATTCCAATATTTCGTGCCTATTAGAATAGATCTGATTTTCTGTTCGTTTTCGAGAATTTACAAGTGATTAAAACATGATAATCTGATCGTTCGAAGCGAATCGGACGATATGCTTTGATCAGTAGGAAATGGTAATTATTCGCTGTTAATTGTTTACTATCCGTGCTTCGCTGTGTGGAATCTCTGCCTGCAATGGCAAGTTTCCTGTGATGAATTCCCTGTCACAATATTTACTAATACTCAACATCATCCTATTTTGTCGAGTCTTTTTTTCATGACGCTTACAATAAAAACTAATGATGTAATAAAGAATATTAGTGAATATTTTTTTGAGGGAAGAAAATATGTCTAAATATTTGAAGTACTTTAAATTAATTGTGGTAAGTCAGAATAATTAAAATTTACAAATTAAATGGCCTATTAAAATTTGATATACACTACACAAATATTAAAAACGTTTTAGAAAATTTACATCACTAATATTTACCACAACTTTTATCAAAGGTACTTTGATATTGTATTTTACAATAATTAAATTTGCAATAAATCATTATTATTACACTTTCGCGATATTAGCAGCTGCGTTTGCTTCACACTCACGAAAAATATTGTCAAGAAATTCTCATTTTGCTCATACGTGTGCTTTATATCGTAGCTTCCATAAAAATAAAAATTTTTATCGAGAGAAAAGCATTCCCTTACTGTGGATGAAGGTCTGACGGATCGGATTCTGCAACCCGTCGTTGGCTTTGCCATCACAGTATCTATTTCGTCTTATCGACACAAATTTTTCTCACCATCAGAACGGCAATGAGCAAAGAATGTTGAAGTCTTCACGGGGACATTTTCACGATTTATCTCAACAAAAGTAAATTAACAAACTGTACACTAGTGGCCCACTTTAGTTAATTTCTTGTCTCGATTAAAAATCTTTTATCCATCATCTCTCTTCGAGATCGTTGAGGGTTGTTGCTGTCTTCCATTTTACTCACTATTCCAATTCCTATTGGAATTGTCACTACGATTTCGGTTTTCGATATCGACGCTTTGGATTTTCGAGCTGTTCGAAATTTCATATTCGTGCGGAAACGCGCACCGGAAACTTCGCGACACGAGGCGTCGTATAGTACGACACTGTTCGATCTCGAGACGGGATTGGATTGCGCGATGCGGATCGCCATCCATCGAAGTGATGATCATACAATCCCCTGCATCATCGCACCAAGCTGCATTGTTGCAGCTGTTGCACGTGCACCTGTCTGTCTGCGTCTTTTTTGCTGTCCTGCGTTGTGAAACTGCATCCAGATCGGTAGAGCTACTAAAGTGATCTGTAACAGAAAGATGTAACATTTGAGAGTTTTATCAAATTGACTAGTTGAAACGCGCTCCAAATGATAGAAACAAATCAGAATATAATGCAAGAAATTTATATTATTTATTTAACTATACTACTGTTGACTTTAACACATTTTTTCTTTAATTATTGTTTTTATTTTATCCACTAATTCTACTTCTATTAGAATCAATTTTTAAACATTACTGCTCAATAAGTACATACTTGATGAACTGATATCACTCTTCTTAATATTACTTGAATTCAAGTTAATTTACGATATAATATTTTGCTTTTACTATGTTAACTTACAATTAGTATCAACGAAATAGATTTATAATTTACTAAATTTAAAAAATTTGTGTATCTTAATAGAATAAATGGAGAGAAAAAATGCATAGAAAAGAAAAAGTTTTAAGAAACTACTAATTATAACATTATTAAATATACAGTGTTTAAATTTTCCTTCATGTGTAAATTTTTTGATCAGTTTAAAGCTAATTTTTCGTGAGCAAATGAATAATGCAAACGGAAAAAATTACGCAGACACTCTAAATACATAATCTCGTAATTTCAAGCCTTGGCTGCATTAGCATTTGCTAAATGCGTTAAAAAAGTAATAAGAGAATTACCAGAATATACAGATATCATAGTTTGCTTGCATTTTCGTAGAATCATAAATTACGATTTTATTAAATGCTGAAAAATATTCCATTTTTATCTTTTTTAAAAAAATTTTTTAAATACTTTTATAAAATTGCTGCAATTTTTGTAAATAAAAGTTAATACAAGAGCTCATTCTTCTTATTCTTGATAAACAAATCTTTAATTAAAATTCTGGTAAACACACCGTGAAACTAATTATAAAATAAAATTTCGTTATTTATTTCTACCGTCAAAATTTAATTCATAAAACCAATTTCAATTATTTATAATGTAGAATCTGTTAATACCGTGATCTTTTTTTTTTTTTAATCGGTCGAAAGCTTAATAAGTAATAAGTCTATGAATAAAAAGTATGATAATGCTTAATTGAACGATTTGCTTGATTATAATAGCTTTATTTAAAGAAACACCCATGTGTGTGTATCATATTGTCTTATATTATCTTCGCTTATCTTGCTGCGCAATCACTTGTTTCCTCCGGGAAAAAAATCGTGTATTCCGAAGCTTCGTGAAGGAAAGTTCGTATTATCATCGTATAGCACGATGTATTTTGACTCACAAAAAAGATTACCTCCCTTATCCGTTTCCTTTGCAAGAGATTCGGTTGCGAAAACCGCTGTTTACACGATCGATGGTAATGCACGGGGGCGTATATACGTTCGCCTATGTGGTGGATACGAATTACATATTAGAGTGCTGAGAGAGTGGCAGCAAGTGAGTGGTGGTGTATAGTTTATATAAGTACGATTCATTTGAATATATTAATTATTCATTTTACATGCCGCGGAAGCCGCGTATCGCGTTAATCCTCGCACGATTACCGAGTATGTCGAGCACGATTCCGCATCGATCACGATTCATCGTTTCCATGTATGCATGATTAAATAATTTCGCGGCATCGACGATGCTCCGATTAATGCTTGTATTTACGATCGTATAATTAATACATTCCTTTGCATCAAAGAAGAGTTGGCCTTATGGCTATCATTATTTTTATATTTATCCTTAAAATATTGAGCGTTTTATAGATTGATATTGTAATTAATATATGTATTTCCGAAATACTCATCCTAAATTAAAATAAGCCTCGTATTCGGTTTTGACATATACTGCACTGGATACAATTTTGGCATATTAATTATCCAAAATTATATAATAATATTCCTATTGAAAATTGTTATATTTAGCTTAACAAAAATTGATTCGCCATATATAAATTATATATTAATGCCAAACATTACATATCACAAATATTAATAGTCCATGTTACCGGTACGAATAAGTTACGTTTCGATGTGATGAGTAATAAATAAAGTAAATATACATATACATACATACATATATATACATATATGTATATATACATATATGTATATCTTTTCGACAAAATTATTCTCACATTATCAGTGCACATGTATGTATATTATTATTGGTCAACGTTATTAACATTTGATTTATAGCATGCATCTATCACGGTCTATCATAGTCATTGTAGATTAATTTCAATTGATACTTAATGAATGCATCGAGAGATACGTGCAGATATACTGTATGTACTATTCTCCACTGTAATTACCCTATAATTATGTCTGTAGTGCAGCGCACTATAGTAAACAAATAGCTCATCAATCTCAGTACGTCATCGCAGGCCGGTTATCGATCACTTTAAGGCAGTGTATAAAGGCTGTCACGATGTCGTTACCAAATTTGTTCGTCGGTAAATTTCTGTTTGTATAATTACATTTTTAAAATACCTTCTTGTCGGTCCATTTCGGTCGATTTAACTTTTACATCTATTATTCATATATCTGCATTTGAGCATTAATTTTATAATACACGACACATAACATGCGTACGTGACATGAAACATACATAAATTTCAATATTCGAAAAGAAAACGAATCCAGATAAAACTATGGTGGTTACGAGTTGAATCTAGAAAAGATGAATAACGCGCACATTAATTTTCATACATTCTTTTATTGCTATAATTTTTCGCACAACACATAAAACATATTAAACATATTAAATAATTTTAGGTATTTGCCAGAGTGGAAAAACATGCTAATCGATATAATTTTATTTTTACAACAATTTAAATTTGAGTTAACATTTATTTCCACTTAAATGTTATAAAATATGACATTATTGTTACATTTGAAAAATAGAAAGATATATTTTTAATTTATAAGGTAATTTGGGTTAATAAGCTTTACAAGCAATTTCAGCGTTCCATTCTTTACTGTGCATCGATGTGTCACTTTCGTTATTCCACATCGCCGAAGATTGCTCGCAAAATAAGTTGCTCGTATATTTGTGATATCCATGCAGGCGGAAACCATTTTTTCGCGCGCCATCGCATCGCGTTGTACAAAATAATAATATATCCGCAAACATCATCCTTTCGCATGCGAGAAAATGTCCGATAGGACGAAAATAAATTTCGATTACCTGTACTAGAATGGGAGAAAAAAAGATAATAGTTCAGTGCGGATATACCGATCGCGGCGACGGATAGGGTGAACAGCTTGCGGGAGGGGGAGGAGGTGTCCACAGTGTTTATTAGATATTTA